GGGGGTCACGTCTAGTATGGCTGTAATTGTAAATCAACTGACCTTAGTTACTGCAAAACTTGATCCAAGGAATTAGACTTGTCCTATCCTTCCTTGGACTAAGCCTCAACCCCTATGGATTACATAATAATAATTATATTATTATTGTTAATAATAATATAGGCGGCGCCCGGATATTATTATTGTTAATAATAATAATATAGGAGAGGAGAGTTATTAAATGGAGAGTTAGAGGTATTGGGAAGATGGAGGGAATATTTTGAGGAATTGTTAAATGTTGATGAAGATAGGGAAGCTGTGATTTCGTGTATAGGACAAGGAGGAATAACATCTTGTAGGAGTGAGGAAGAGCCAGTTGTGAGTGTGGGGGAAGTTCGTGAGGCAGTAGGTAAAATGAAAGGGGGTAAGGCAGCCGGGATTGATGGGATAAAGATAGAAATGTTAAAAGCAGGTGGGGATATAGTTTTGGAGTGGTTGGTGCAATTATTTAATAAATGTATGGAAGAGGGTAAGGTATAGGCCTAGGGATTGGCAGAGAGCATGCATAGTTCCTTTGTATAAAGGCAAAGGGGATAAAAGAGAGTGCAAAAATTATAGGGGGATAAGTCTGCTGAGTATACCTGGTAAAGTGTATGGTAGAGTTATTATTGAAAGAATTAAGAGTAAGACAGAGAATAGGATAGCAGATGAACAAGGAGGCTTTAGGAAAGGTAGGGGTGTGTGGACCAGGTGTTTACAGTGAAACATATAAGTGAACAGTATTTAGATAAGGCTAAAGAGGTCTTTGTGGCATTTATGGATTTGGAAAAGGCGTATGACAGGGTGGATAGAGGGGCAATGTGGCAGATGTTGCAAGTGTATGGTGTAGGAGGTTGGTTACTGAAAGCAGTGAAGAGTTTTTACGAGGATAGCTCACTGAGGCTCAAGTTAGAGTATGTAGGAAAGAGGGAAATTATTTCCCAGTAAAAGTAGGCCTTAGACAAGGATGTGTGATGTCACCGTGGTTGTTTAATATATTTATAGATGGGGTTGTAAGAGAAGTAAATGCGAGGGTCTTGGCAAGAGGCGTGGAGTTAAAAGATAAAGAATCACACACAAAGTGGGAGTTGTCACAGCTGCTCTTTGCTGATGACACTGTGCTCTTGGGAGATTCTGAAGAGAAGTTGCAGAGATTGGTGGATGAATTTGGTAGGGTGTGCAAAAGAAGAAAATAAAGGTGAATACAGGAAAGAGTAAGGTTATGAGGATAACAAAAAGATTAGGTGATGAAAGATTGAATATCAGATTGGAGGGAGAGAGTATGGAGGAGGTGAATGTATTCAGATATTTGGGAGTGGACGTGTCAGCGGATGGGTCTATGAAAGATTAGGTGAATCATAGAATTGATGAGGGGAAAAGAGTGAGTAGTGCACTTAGGAGTCTGTGGAGACAAAGAACTTTGTCCTTGGAGGCAAAGAGGGGAATGTATGAGAGTATAGTTTTACCAACGCTCTTATATGGATGTGAAGCATGGGTAATGAATGCTGCAGCGAGGAGAAGGCTGGAGGCAGTGGAGATGTCATGTCTGAGGGCAATGTGTGGTGTGAATATAATGCAGAGAATTCGTAGTTTGGAAGTTAGGAGGAGGTGCGGGATTACCAAAACTGTTGTCCAGAGGGCTGATGAAGGGTTGTTGAGGTGGTTCGGACATGTAGAGAGAATGGAGCGAAACAGAATGACTTCAAGAGTGTATCAGTCTGTAGTGGAAGGAAGGCGGGGTAGGGGTCGGCCTAGGAAAGGTTGGAGAGAGGGGGTAAAGGAGGTTTTGTGTGCGAGGGGCTTGGACTTCCAGCAGGCATGCGTGAGCGTGTTTGATAGGAGTGAATGGAGACAAATGGTTTTTAATACTTGACGTGCTGTTGGAGTGTGAGCAAAGTAACATTTATGAAGGGGTTCAGGGAAACCGGCAGGCCGGACTTGAGTCCTGGAGATGGGAAGTACAGTGCCTGCACTCTGAAGGAGGGGTGTTAATGTTGCAGTTTTAAAAACTGAAGTGTGAAGCACCCTTCTGGCAAGACAGTGATGGAGTGAATGATGGTGAAAGTTTTTCTTTTTCGGGCCACCCTGCCTTGGTGGGAATCGGCCAGTGTGATAATAAAAAAAATAAAATAATATAGGCGGCGCCCGGATATTATTATTGTTAATAATAATATAGGCGGCGCCCGGATATAACAACACACCCTTCCCTATGTTGTACGTCGATAAGATGAGAGGTTCCAACATTGCATATATATATATCTCTTAAAATAAAATAAGTATAAAGGACGCTTATTAATGTATTTAGAGTGAATGTACAATGAGGCTAAAGTATGCAGAGGTTCGCTATAAATGCGTAGGCTATCATCCTCAAGGTCGAATGTGTGCTGTGTAAAAAAAAAAAATTGCTGACGTCCAAGTCTTTAACTGTGCTGGGATATTATAGTTATATTTGCTTGATTTATTTTTTCGGCTTAGTGTCATGTATAGTTATAACAGTACTAAGTAATTTATATTCAGTGTATTCACTATCGACTTGATAATGGTTCGTGTGTATTGTCAATTGTTGCAGCCACGACTTGTATTTCTTTAATTTCTACTCATTTGTACTATATATAAAACAATAAGTGTTTATAGATAATAAAACTGACATAATAATACCTAATCAAATATATCCCGACAATTCCCCAAAAAAGTAAGTATCTGCAAGAGTACCTTGTGGGTACATGTACACATTCGCATATGTATAAATATTTAGTTTAACTTTCACGGGTAATATTCAAAGATATCTTTTAACACTTATTAAGAATTTAATATTTCCCTACATATGTTGTATCATATTTAAAATATCTTAATAATCTTATACGTAAGCCACGTTTAAAGCATGTGTACTTTATTCTGAGACTCTTTGGTACATTCTGTCCTGCAAAAAAGGCATAGACAGAACTACTTTAATTCAAATCACAGACGTAATTATATTGTAAATTAGATTACGGTATTGCAAATAAAAACTTGGACAAGTTCATCATTGCATATTGCCTCGTTGTGTCGCAGCATTTATATTAAAAATTAATCTATCTGTAGATTCACCGGCAAGGTTCTCAGTAGTTATAGCCTGGAAGTGGTCAAATCCACTACTGGCTTTTCCTGTACCGAACCTGTTCTATATAGCTTCATAAAAATTTTGATTGCTGCATTTTCAGTCCCCATTGGCGACGCCACTGTCTTCTTGTATCACATTGATCTTTGTTTCTGAGCCTTTCAAAACTGAATGCAAGACAGTCTCGACACAGGTTGTTGGCATCTTAACAGACATGATTTAATGTTATTAGCGTAATTTGTGAATTGTTCCACACGGTATCTGGCATTTATTTTCCATTTTGCAATTCATTCTTTCATAATTTTTTTGTAATACTAGTTTACCTCTGCATCTGATTAAGTTTTCTGCAGTGGTCAGTTTTTTTTTTACCAGCTTTATTGGTGCCATGCTATCCAAAACGTTAGTAATTTTTTTCGATGAATTTGTAACATTTCAAATAATTTTAGATTAGCTAACTTTTTGATATTAAAACTGTCTATCAAAATTACTTTTATAAGTTTCCTTGATATGACTAAGATTTTTATTATTCACGGGGAACATTGGTAAGACTCATTCAGTGCCCGGGCAATGTGAGGTAATCATACTTAATCCAAGGAAATACTATATGGTAACTAATTCTTAGACTCAAAAGCCCGTCACCAGCATGAAGGCACTTCCCTCGAAGGGATAACTAAGAATAAAAACAGGCGATTAATGTACCTAGCAGCCAGTGTTGTGCTCACCATCAGTATTATTTGAGATGTATAAAAACTGGCTAATCTGTGATGAGAATATTAATGGATATATTACTATATTTAACCGAGTCCAGTAGGTATCTCCATGCTAAAATTATCTTGTACTGTATCAGTATGCATACAGGATATATATATCGACAGGTGTATTTCTCTTACAGTATAAAGTTTATTTCAATTTCTACTTCAGGGATTAAAGTTTTCTTGTCTGGTGGAGAAAAGGTTACGCGCAGCGTTAATAACCCGAGTGTAGTTGTATAGGTTTTGAACCCCATTAACCAACCAACGAAACCTGTTTGATAAGATGTAATTTACTCAGGTGAAATTAGATGTCGATAATTGCACTGAATTTTTCGCTTAAATGGAAATAAGTACAAATTGTGGGGTTTAAAGAAATGTAACCACATTAAGATCGTCTTCAATTTAAGCTTGCCTTCTCTTTCTCTTCTCTCTTTCTCAGTCACACATCCTTGTCACGTTTTAGGTGTAACGTGTTCATTAATTACCAGCATCACACGGCCTCTCCTCTCCAACAGGAGTAACTAGTGAGGACGGGACAATTCCTTGCTCCTGGACCACAGCTCCGCGTATGTTTATTTAGGTATGGGTCCACGTAAGAACAATTATCATACATAGTAACATATGTGTAAATTACCTAGGATAACCCACAAGTCTGACAGCGACTTATTTTTGTCAGCTACACACTGGCAGTTTTTTAAGGTTTGTTTCAAAACCTTTGATAGAGATTACATTTTGCGATTATATGGTTTTAGAATATCGGTAAAGCCTATATTAGAATCTGAAATATATGGTGTGACAAGCGACAGCGTAGTTTCCACTTACACTTGTGCTTCCTCCTGCACCGACAAAAAGTTTTAAGATTTGCAAAGACTTAGGACGCTATTTAGTATTTTTGTCATTAAAACACTTTATTAAGTCATACACACTAACACAAGTTCGCAAAATACTATCCTCCGGTAGATCTCATGTTAATTTAGAAGTGCTAATCACCCATACTGGGTTTGCATTTTTTGTGAATAAAATAATCTCGGTAACTAGGATTTTTTTTTTCGTGGAAACTTTCCTACACAGCAACTTTCTTAAAAGAGGATATTTTTACATGAGGCCTCTCTTATAAATATAAGAGGACTTACCTTGCTTCTCAGGTTTGAGGATGGAGAAGTCCTTATTAAGTGAAATGAAAGAGTGCGTCCGTGATGGGTATAACTCCACGGGAAGGTACGTCACAGAGTTGCCAACCGACATGGTCCTCCGGGTGCTGCACAGGCAGGTTCTGCTCTCCACTGGTGCTGCTGACCACCTAGCAGACCAGCACTCCACTGATTACATACTCAACCTCCTGCCGCAGGGAAACACTCCTTATTCTGCAGCAGACAAGGGGACACTCCTGATTCTGCAACAGACGAGGGGACACTCCTGGTTCTGCAGCAGACGAGGGGACACTCCTGATTCTGCAGCAGACGAGGGGACACTCCTGATTCTGCAGCAGACGAGGGGACACTCCTGATTCTGCAGCAGGCGAGGGGACACTCCTGATTCTGCAGCAGGCGAGGGGATATTCTTGATCCTACAGCAGACGAGGGGACGCTCCTGATTCTGCAGCAGACGAGGGGACACTCCTGATTCTGCAGCAGACGAGGGGACACTCCTGATTTAGCAGCAGGCGAGGGGTTATTCTTGATCCTACAGCAGACGAGGGGACGCTCCTGATTCTCCAGCAGACGTGAAACACCACAGGTCTTACGGCAGATCAGCCCTGTAGATCATGTAACAAGAGAGTGCATTACCTAGTTGACTCAGCAGCATTAACTCCAGGTGCTGTAGTATATAATTACTAAACTTCGGGTACTCCGGATCTTGTATTAGACGACTAGTGTACTACATGTACTCCAGGCGGCGTCGAAGCAGATGAATATTATATTGTAGGTACTCCCGGCGTTGCAGCAAGTGAATACTGTACATGTGTTCCCGGCGTCGCAACAGGTTGGACGTACACTTTGTATCACGTTTGATGTGTTCGAGAGTAAAGAATGTGCCACAGGTCGTCTCTGACCGGATGACTTCCAAAATACATTGCCCCTGGAGTCAGGGCAATACGCATCCTCCTTGGGAACACTACACACACTGCAGTAGGTAGAGATGAGTGTGAGTGCGTGTAGGCGCGAGACGATGTAGCCAGATAAAGCGGCCTTCACCTACGTCACACGAGACACTGTTCGCCCGCTGCAACAACAAACCTGCTCTCCAAAATATTTCGCTCGTTTTCTTTGAAGCGTCGGCAACAGGAAGAACTACGCCATACTACCATACGCATGCCAGCTGTTGCTTCTCGCCACGCCCTCGCCAAAGGGTCAACGCTACCACTGAATAAGTCATCATATGACAGAGAGTTGAGTCAGGAATTTTTTTCCTGATGCATGTAATAACAATAACAACAACTTGAGCAACCTCTCATTCCATCATAGGCACACTAACACGTAACTGGCTCTCGTGGCAACACGAAAACTTTTAGAGGCTTCATTCAATCACAGGTAACAGTGGGGTGGTGATAGTGGAATGGTAGCCCCCACCAGTGCCTGATTTACTTATGGGCTTGGCAGGCTGAAACCGAGGGGCCTCAAAATCTAGGAGGCCTAGGGCCAAGGTGTATATTTTTGTCACTGTCATAAGCCTTTCTTACACATGCTGTCATAACGCTCTGTAGTCTCTAAACAGCCCTCCAGTAACGTTCTTTGCACTCCATTTTAGAATAATACTCGACACTAGCATTGATTTGTTTATTGATTTTGTCCTTCCGGGAAAGCAGTGAGATAGATAAGTTGACTGAGGCACTCAGTCATTTGTACTCTGATGTTAATGAGAAGGCTGATACCAGGCTTCAAGCTAACAATCTTTTGCAGATAATGGAAGAACTGGAATTTGTGTTTATGCTGCATTTTTGGACCCGTGTGCTGGGTCATTTTCAAAAGGTCAGCAAAGGTAATCAGGATTCAGAACTGTTATTGAGTACTTTTGCATGTTTGTATAGTTCACTTCAGGATTTTTAAATAAAAATTAGAGAAGATTTTGATGAGTTAGAGCAACAAGCAAAAGCCACCTTGCCAAATGTTAACTACAGAACTGCCACAAGGAGACAAAAAGTAAGGAAACGGCAAAGAAATACCGGAAGTACCCCTGGTCCTGATGCCTTAGATGAACTCTCTTCAAGAGAAAAGTTTAGGATAAAATCCTTTATTCCTATATAGATGCACTTGAAGCCAATTTAAGAAGCGCTACTGTGTACAGTGATGTTCCACAAATATTTTCCTTTCTTTCTAATCTGACAGCATCTAAGTAAGAAATTCAGCAATGTGTTGAACTGTTAATGGCAGCATACCCAGATGCTGACCTGTAACTGATGGACTTTTGCACTTTCACTTGTACGTGAGACAAAACCATAGGCCTACAGGAGCAGACATTGTATCATACAGACCTTTATCTAATTATATACAAGGAAAAAATTCAGATGGCCTTCCCTAATGTGGAAGCAATCTTGCGGCTATTTTTTACCTTAATAATCACTAACTGCTTGGGAGAGAGGTCTTTTTCAAGCCTCAAAATAATTAAAAAGTAATTAAAAGCCACAATGTTTCAAGAAAGGTTGTTCGCATGCATATATATATATATATATATATATATATATATATATTATATATAATATATATATATATATATATATATATATATATATATATATATATATGTGTGTGTGTGTGTGTGTGTGTGTGTGTGTGTGTGTGTTGTGTGTGTGTGTGTGTGTGTGCATGCAAACAATCGCAGACGGGCGATCTTAACTATTCAGGACAAGCCACGGGGGTTGTCTGTTGGCGTTACATCTGGCTATTGCTATCCGCGTGAGTTCTCGTGTTTTTTCTGTGTTTCATGGTCTTGATATTTTTTTCAGGTTCAAAACAAATATGAATAATTGTTAAAGCACAGCCTAATCCATACGTTGTTTTAAAAACGAGTATAATGCGCCTCATTCAGCCAGGAGTGAACCATATAGTGGTCAGCGGGGAAGCGGAACCAGGAGCTGAGACTCGACCCCTGCAACCACAGTTAGGTGAGGTGAGTACCACGGGCTCAAGCTGTGACTTAAAGTCAAAGACAGCTATTTAAGCATTCCTCTCAAACGAGGTTCGTTGATGCCGATGAGGAGCTCGTGATGTAACAAATTTGATCTTCCCTTTCCTAACCTGACAGCTTCCCATTTCCCCAGGTGTTGTGTGAAGACTGACGACCTAGTACGTCACTCAATATAATCATCATCATCATCATAATATGTAAGCGTTGACGCTTTTTAAGATTCTGTTAATGTGCCACTGCGTGAGCCATCATAAGATAAGACCCTCGTTACCTGAGACTGAGTGACAGTTTAGTTGGTTTAATATGTTTATTATGCACCCCATGCCCATCCTGTGAGCGGTAGTCAAAAGATTACAGAGGTACATAATGGGTCCAGGGACTGGGCCCCAAAGTTTTGATAGCTGAACAAGTTACAGAGGTAATGAACTCACAATTTACAAAGGTAATGAACTCACAATTTACAAAGGTAATGAACTCCAGGTAGGTCTGGTCACAATCATGACAAGTTACAAAGGTATTTACAGATTACAGAGGTACGTAATGGGTCCAGGGACTGGGCCCCCAAAGTTTTGATAGCTGAACTAGGTACAAAGGTAATGAACTCACAAGTTACAAAGGTAACGAGACTGAGTGACAGATTAACAGCAGCAACAACACGCACACCAAGTACAACTTTCCACAGCAACAACTGCGACTCTGGCTGGATGCCACGAGTGTGTGAGCGAAGGTGGCTACTTCTCTGGTCCACACTTGGGCCAGTTTCAGGTCCACCACTGCACATGGACCAGTATATGTGGCCCACAACCACACCTGGACCATGGTAACGTAGCAAGTTATTTCACTCAGTAGTCTGGACACTCGAGGCTTCATGCCTAGGACACTGACTCGGGTACATCCCATCACACCTCTTCCGGCGCTCTGTGACCCTTACTAGCTTAGCATTCCCCCCATGATTATAATAATATATTCAGTGGTAAGGCAGACGTATAGATGATGCTGGGATATTTACACTTCATACGTTTCAAATTCAGAAAATGTTCTTGGTTATAACGACACCTTGAGCTGTGGACAAGTGCATTGAACAATTTTCTGATGGAGGAGTTGCTAGACGGCTTCCTCTATCAGATAATCATCATGTAGGTGCTACGATAACGTAGTGGGTACGGTAACGTAGTGGGTACGGTAACGTAGTGGGTACGATAACGTAGTGGGTACTGTAACGTAGTGGGTACGGTAACGTACTGGGTACTGTAACGTAGTGGGTACTGTAACGTAGTGGGTACGGTAACGTAGTGGGTACGGTAACGTAGTGGGTACTTTAACGTAGTGGGTACGGTAACGTAGTGGGTACTGTAACGTAGTGGGTACTGTAACGTAGTGGGTACGGTAACGTAGTGGGTACGGTAACGTAGTGGGTACGGTAACGTGGGTACTGTAACGTAGTGGATACTGTAACGTAGTGGGTACTGTAACGTAGTGGATACTGTAACGTAGTGTGTACTGTAACGTAGTGGGTACTGTAACGTGGTGGGCACTGTAACGTAGTGGTTACTGTAACGTAGTAGGTACTGTAATGTAATGGGTACTGTAATGTAGCGGGTATTGTAACGTAGTGGGTACTGTAACGTAGTGGGTACGGTAATGCAGTGGGTTCTGTAACGTAGTGGGTACTGTAACGTAGTGGGTACTGTAACGTAGTGGGCACGGTAACGTAGGGGTACTGTAACGTAGTGGATACGGTAACGTAGTGGGCACGGTAACGTAGTGGGTACTGTAACGTAGTGGGTACTGTAACGTAGTGGGCACGGTAACGTAGTGGGTACTGTAACGTAGTGGGTACGGTAACGTAGTGGGCACGGTAACGTAGTGGGTACTGTAACGTAGTGAGTACTGTAACGTAGTGGGTACTGTAACGTAGTGGGTACGGTAACGTAGTGGGTACTATAGCGTGGTGGGTACTGTAACGTAGTGGTTACTGTAACGTAGTGGGTTCTGTAACGGTGGGTACTGTAATGTAGTAGGTGCTGTAACGTAGTGGGCACGGTAACGTAGTGGGTATTGTAACGTAATGGGTATTGTAAAGCAGTGGGTAATGTAACGTAGTGGGTATTGTAACGTAGTGGGTATTGTAACGTAGTGGGTACTGTAACGTAGTGGGTATTGTAACGTAGTGGGTATTGTAACGTAGTGGGTACTGTAATGTAGTGGGTACTGTAACGTAGTGGGTATTGTAACGTAGTGGGTACTGTAACGTAGTGGGTACCGTAATGTAGCGTGTACTGTAACGTAGTATGTACTGTAATGTAGTGAGTATTGTAACGTAGTGGGTATTGTAACGTAGTGGGTACTGTGACGTTTTGGGTACTGTAATGTAGTGGGTACCGTAACGTAGTGGGTATTGTAACGTAGTGAGTACTGTACCGTAGTGAGTACTGTAGCGTAGTGAGTACTGTGACGTAGCGAGTACTGTAACGTAGTGAGTACTGTAACGTAGTGAGAACTGTAATGTAGTGAGTACTGTAACGTAGTGGGTGCTGTAACGTAGTGGGTACTGTAACGTAGTGGGTACTGTAACGTAGTGAGTACTGTAACGTAGTGAGTACTGTAACGTAGTGAGTACTGTAACGTAGTGAGTACTGTAACGTAGCGAGTACTGTAACGTAGTGAGTACTGTAACGTAGTGAGTACTGTAACGTAGTGGGTACTGTAACGTAGTGGGTACTGTAACGTAGTGGGTACTGTAACGTAGTGGGTACTGTAACGAAGTGGGTACTGTAACGTAGTGGGTACTGTAACGTAGTGAGTACTGTAACGTAGTGAGTACTGCAACGTAGTGGGTACTGTAACGTAGCGGGTACTGTAAAGTTGTGGGTACTGTAACGTAGTGGGTACTGTAACGTAGTGGGTACTGTAACGTAGTGGGTACTGCACCGTAGTGGGTACTGTAACGTAGTGGGTACTGTAACGTAGTGAGTACTGTAACGTAGTGGGTACTGTAACGTAGTGGGTATTGTAATGTAGTGGGTACTGTAACGTAGTGGGTACTGTAACGTAGTGGGTACTGTAACGTAGTGGGTACTGTAACGTAGTGGGTACTGTAACG